TTTAGTTTCGTCGCTTTTCACCCGAGATATGGCAAAGCTGGACTCCATTTGTAGAAAGTACAAATCAGGCCTTTGCTTGCAGAATACCGGTGGTTTGATGCTATTATGCTGCAGCTCGCCAGTTAGGCATTTGTTCTCCGCCACTGCTGCGTTGTCAGACATATCAGCATTATCAGTTGATTGCTCTTCCATGAGCATCTTATTTTACGTTTCGCCAAAATTGGCTAGAAGAAAAAAAATGCTAGCGTCGAATTTGCTGCGTGCTTTGCTTGCAAAGATGTTTTAGTTATTCGGCGCAGGCAGATCCAGGTCTTGACAAAAGAGGTGGTGATACGTATATCTACCGGTCACGTGATGTACGCCTAACCTTACTTTTGTTTCCCAGTGGCTGTGCAATACGGGTATGCATGTGTATGTACGTGCACCGGACCACTTCTCGAATTTTCGACCGTCGGGGTCACCAGTGTGGGAGATACGCCCACGGCAGCCCTGCTGAGGTATACCTTACCAGAATATAGCTATGCACGTTACAGCGCAAAATAAAGAGTCGGATGGCTTTTGGTTTTTTTCGGGTTCACCGGAAACTGAATATATTTATTTTAATCGCGATTCTAACGTGTTACACGAAGTTGCTTGGTGAAGGTCCACGAAGGAAAAGAAAAAGTTCTTGTCCTTATCAAGCAAGTCGATGTGTAAGTCAAAACGAAATGTCTTAAGTTAGGGCGTTACCAGATTTGTAAGAAATATACATTTAAACATAAATATTTTAGAGCTACATACATTATACTAGTTTACTATTCGAACGCCACATACTTTAGCAAATATAAATAAGCGGATTTTTGAAATTTTAAAAATTTAAGGCAGAGATATATTTAAAGCAAAATTTATTATGTACATTTATAAAAATTTATTGATTAATTTGTATATTTCGTATAAGAATTGAGTTGAAATTTTAGAGTTATGTGAAAATTGTAAACAAATGTTCTGCCTAAAAATGTGGCAGATTTTAAGCCTTGTGTGGTAGATGTGCTAGACACCCAAATCAAGGAAGTCGATGTGTAAGACAAAACGAAATGTCTTAAGTTAGGGCGTTACCAGATTTGTAAGAAATATACATTTAAACATAAATATTTTAGAGCTACATACATTATACTAGTTTACTATTCGAACGCCACATACTTTAGCAAATATAAATAAGCGGATTTTTGAAATTTTAAAAATTTAAGGCAGAGATATATTTAAAGCAAAATTTATTATGTACATTTATAAAAATTTATTGATTAATTTGTATATTTCGTATAAGAATTGAGTTGAAATTTTAGAGTTATGTGAAAATTGTAAACAAATGTTCTGCCTAAAAATGTGGCAGATTTTAAGCCTTGTGTGGTAGATGTGCTAGACACCCAAATCAAGGAAGTCGATGTGTAAGACAAAACGAAATGTCTTAAGTTAGGGCGTTACCAGATTTGTAAGAAATATACATTTAAACATAAATATTTTAGAGCTACATACATTATACTAGTTTACTATTCGAACGCCACATCTACTCCCCCTTCAGATTCGTCGTTAGATGAAGTCAGCGAAGTGTTTGGGGAAGTTTACTTTTCGTCCAACTCGCGTTGAAGTTTCTTCCTGGCGGTTGGTAGGTAGATGTGATGTGGATTTCAGTATACTCCGTTTCGTTGGTATTTCGGTTGGTCGCCTCATCGGGGTATGACATGAATCCTCTTCGGCTACATGCGCAGCTTTTAACCTGTCGATGCTGACTCTCGTTACCTTGTTGCCTATTACAACGTCGAAGTATTTGCCAAACCGTTTCGCTACCTCAAATGGACCATCATATTGTTGTTTCAGTGGCGGTTTGACTGAATCATCCCTTACAAAGACGTGAGTGCAGTTGTTTATGTCTTTTTGCACGAAGACTTTGTTCTTGGCGTGGCTCGTTGTTGATACGTGTTTCAATTTGGCTATCGTACTCTTTAATTTTTCTAGAAAATCGCTCTCCGTGTACTCGGTTTTGCTATCGAAGAATTCTTCGGGCAACTTAAGGTGTTCGCCGTATACCATTTCCGCTGGTGTGGCATTTAGGTCTTCTTTGAATGCTGTTCGAAGCCCGAGCAAAGCGATGGGAATGCTGTCAACCCAGTTGCTGTTGGTGTGACACTTCACAGCCGTTTTCAGCGTACGGTGCATGCGCTCCACCAGGCCATTTGCTTGCGGGTGGTACGCTGTTGATCTGAAGTGTTTAGCACCAATTAGATTCGACAACTCATTGAACAATTTCGACTCAAACTGTTTGCCGTGATCAGTTGTGATGGCATCTGGTACACCGAAGTGCGCTATCCAGCCGTGTAAAAACGCTTTGGCCACTGTTTCGGCTGTGATGTCTTGCATCGGGATTGCCGCAGGCCATCGAGAAAAACGATCGATGCAAGTTAGACAGTATTTGAAGCCTTCTGAGAGAGGTAATGGTCCAATAATGTCGATGTTAAAATGGCGGAATCGTTGGCTGGGTACCCGAAAATTCTCAAGCGCCGTGCGGTTGTGCCTCCAGACTTTTGTTTTTTGGCACGGCACGCATGACGATACCATCTTGCTGACTTGTTGTTTCATGTGTGGCCAAACAAATCGTTCCGTCATGAGCTTTATTGTCGATCTTTTGCCTGGGTGACCTACATTGTGTATCGACTCAAACGCCTGCTTGCGGAATCTTTCCGAAACGTACGGCCGCACATGCTTCGTCGTGGTGCCCGGAATCTGGATTGCTTTTAATTTAAGTGAACTATCGGTCATTAGCTGTTCCGAGTTCTGGGTCGCCTCTTTGCTAATTGGCTAATTTTTTGAAATCTATCTGGTCGCCGTTGAAAATCGTTTCGACTCGGGAAAGAAGGTCTGCCACGATATTATTTTTTCCTGAGACGTGTCGAATCTCCGTGGTAAACTCACTGATGTAGCTTAAGTATCTTGTCTGCTTCGGTGTTGATTTTTCCGGCTTTTGCTGAAACGCAAACGTTAGTGGTTTGTGATCCGTCAGGATTGTGCAATCACGACCATCAATGAGGTGCTGGAAGTACTTGACAGCCTGATAAATAGCGAGCAATTCTCGATCGTACGTACTTTGCTTTTTTTGTGTTTCCGACATCCGCTTAGAGAAAAATCCGAGCGGTTTTAATACTTTATTGCTTAGTTCTTGGATGGCCGCGCCCACACAATAGTTGCTAGCATCCACATGGAGAATTAGTTTGGCATTTTGTGACGGATGTGCGAGCAATGTAGCATTTGCTAAGTCGCCATTCGATTGACCTATCCTTTTTTTTGTTGCCTTTTATTAATTTTTGTAAGTTTCCTTGCGTCGCGGCTGCGTTCGGGAGCGAGCGACGATAAAAGTTGATCATCGCGATGAATTGCCTCAATTCGTAAGCGAGAGTGGGTTTTTTAAAATTCACGATGGCATCAATCTTTTCCGTTGGCGGAGCGATACCATCTTTCGTGACTTTGTAGCCAAGGAAAGTAAGGCTGACTTCCAAAACGTATCAATACAATGATTGGAAACTGTTATACTGCGGTTTTCAAACTGTTTGTATATGCAAAGTTGCGACACATTGCAACCATATACATTGCATATTTTAAATATTCAATATAGCAATGAACAATTTTTCTGAATTTTCCATAACTAAAACGCCAATGCTAACCAATAACAAACGAAGCATCAACTTTGTTTCTGATGCGCTGATTGCTCGAGCGATGCGTTTCGATAAGTTTTCGTAGGTGTTTTGGAACAGTATATATTGTCAATATTTTGTAGTTCGACGTTATGGAACCTTATACTTTGTACGTATGCAAAGCAATTGACGTTTTGGAAGTCAGCCAAATTTCGGGTTTCGCAAATTTACATTTCGCCGCGTTAATTTTTAAATTATGGTCGCGAAGGCGTTGCAATACTGTGCGCAAGTGGTGCTCGTGTTCGTCTTGTGAGGTCGACGCGATGCATATGTCGTCTATGTACACGATGACGTATTCGAGGTCTCTGAAAATGTCGTTCATGAAGCGTTGGAAAGTGTGGCTTGCGTTGCGCAGACCGAACGTCATAACGTTGAATTCAAAAAGACCAAAAGGGGTTATGATTGCGGTCTTCTCCCGATCCTCTTCCGCGATTGGTACCTGGTGGTACGCGCGCTCCACGTCAATTGTGGTGAAGAGCGACTTGCCACATAGTTGCTGTGAAATGTCTTGAATGTGCGGTATTGGATACCGGTCGGGTCGCGTAACCGCATTGAGTCGGCGGTAATCACCACATGCACGCCATTTGCCTATTTCTTTTTTGGGTGCCATATGAAGCGGGCTTGCCCATTGACTACTGCTAGGTCGGCAGATATTCTGCTTTAGCATGTAGTCAAATTCCGATTTCGCAATGCAATGATTCTCTGGGTTAAGCCAACGAGCTTTAGAGAAGATTGGGGGGCCTGAAGTTACGATGTGATGCCTCACTTCAGTGTTTAGGGACGCAGTTGTCATTTTAAAAGGTTGTGTCAGGTCTCGATACTCTTCAAGAATACTTGTAATGTTACTCGGCAGGTTTGGTGCAAATGTGTGAATTTGTTCGCATCGATATGTGCATGCAACTGCATTTACCTCTAACTTCGTTGTCATATCAATTAGTTTTTTCTTGCGTAAGTCAAAGAGCAGTCCGTATTGGTGAAGGAAGTCTGCTCCTATAATTGGTCTCGACACATCTGCGACAACAAACATCCAGTCCATTGGTCTTCTTAAGCCGAAGTTTACTTGGATGGTTTTTGTGCCATAGGTTTTGATCGGAGTGCCGTTGGCGGCGTAAAGGCTGTGATTCAGATCTGGTTTGTCATTATGAAGCGGCGGAACTACTGAAAAATCCGCACCCGTGTCAATGAGGTACCGGCAATTCGTGGTTCGGTCGTTTATAAATAGACGACGACTTTTGGTTGTAGCAGCTCTGTGCGTCGTCTCTGCTGACAGAGGTTCTCCTAGTTTTCCTTCATGTCTAGTCTTTTGAACTGGCTTGGCTCGATACATTTGTTTGCTTTTGCACCAAAACGCCAGTGGTATTTGCAAAAAGGAAAACGTGGTCGTGATCGGCTTCTGCTACGAGCAGTTGGGTCCTTATTTCCGGCGCGCGACGTTCTTGATAGTCGGAGTTCGTCTATTTGTGATTGCAGCCGTTCTACCTGCTTGCTGAGACCCACTTCGCTTTGTATTGTCGCCACATTTGAAAAGCTTAGCATCTCCATCATCTGGTCGGCCTGCCTTGCCATTTCTGCCGAATCGCCCGTTCCGATCGAGATTACCGCGCGCACATTGTCAGGCAAACGCTTCAGCCACAGCGAATTCAGGACGTCATCGCTGAGTTTGTCTCTGGCTAAAGCTTTCATGCGTTTGAGCAACTGCGTCGATTTTAAATCACCGAGCTCACTCTCCTTGATTAGCTTTCGAATTTTACGTTGATCAGAATCTGTAAACTCGGCGATGAGCGCTTTTTTTACCGCCTCATATTTTTCTGTTGCTGACGGATTGCTCACAATGTCGGCGATTTGCATTATTGCTTCCGCATCCAGGGAACTAATGACGTAGTGATATTTAGTTTCGTCGCTTTTCACCCGAGTTATGGCAAAGCTGGACTCCATTTGTAGAAAGTACAAATCAGGCCTTTGCTTGCAGAATACCGGTGGTTTGATGCTATTATGCTGCAGCTCGCCAGTTAGGCATTTGTTCTCCGCCACTGCTGCGTTGTCAGACATATCAGCATTATCAGTTGATTGCTCTTCCATGGGCATCTTATTTTACGTTTCGCCAAAATTGGTTAGAAAAAAAAAATGCTAGCGTCGAATTTGCTGCGTGCTTTGCTTGCAAAGATGTTTTAGTTATTCGGCGCAGGCAGATCCAGGTCTTGACAAACGAGGTGGTGATACGTATATCTACCGGTCACGTGATGTACGCCTAACCTTACTTTTGTTTCCCAGTGGCTGTGCAATACGGGTATGCATGTGTATGTACGTGCACCGGACCACTTCTCGAATTTTCGACCGTCGGGGTCACCAGTGTGGGAGATACGCCCACGGCAGCCCTGCTGAGGTATACCTTACCAGAATATAGCTATNGTTTGAGATTGAAAATGAGAATGTGTGTGTGAGTTTGAGTTTTGATTTTAAAATTATATTGTTGGCAAACGTCAGACTGCCTCTCAATGGTTTTACCTTGTTATGTTTTTATCATGGTGATACGTATATCTACCGGTCACGTGATGTACACCTAACCTTACTTTTGTACAATACGGGTATGCATGTGTATGTACGTGCACCGGACCACTTCTCGAATTTTCGACCGTCGGGGTCACCAGTGTGGGAGATACGCCCACGGCAGCCCTGCTGAGGTATACCTTACCAGAATATAGCTATGCACGTTACAGCGCAAAATAAAGAGTCGGTTGGCTTTTGGTTTTTTTCGGGTTCACCGGAAACTGAATATATTTATTTTAATCGCGATTCTAACGTGTTACACGAAGTTGCTTGGTGAAGGTCCACGAAGGAAAAGAAAAAGTTCTTGTCCTTATCAAGCAAGTCGATGTGTAAGTCAAAACGAAATGTCTTAAGTTAGGGCGTTACCAGATTTGTAAGAAATATACATTTAAACATAAATATTTTAGAGCTACATACATTATACTAGTTTACTATTCGAACGCCACATACTTTAGCAAATATAAATAAGCGGATTTTTGAAATTTTAAAAAGTTAAGGCAGAGATATATTTAAAGCAAAATTTATTATGTACATTTATAAAAATTTATTGATTAACCTGTAGATTTCGTATAAGAATTGAGTTGAAATTTTAGAGTTATGTGAAAATTGTAAACAAATGTTCTGCCTAAAAATGTGGTAGATTTTAAGCCTTGTGTGGTAGATGTGCTAGACACCTAAATTTTAAAAAATATGTGGGAGATCTACCACATACATATGTGGTAGAGGTTTGCACACTGCTTGCATATATGGTCCTATGTATTATAGCCTACTAGGCAACACGCTGGTTGCGCTGGAGTAGAGTTACTTATAAAAGTCGTATTTATTAGCCGAAAACGCTCATCTGTGCTCTTAATTTTCATTATAAGGACTTTTATTGGCTTACATGGTTTACGGACCAATGTTGAAGTTGTAAGATCATAGAAGAATATTACGCACGCTTGGCAGAGATCTCACAGGTGGAAATAACACCATCGGTAAAACTCATGAAATCGAAAGGGATTAGTATTCCATATGGCATCACGGCGCTACTATTATTGGCCTATGTGTGAGGAGGATTCTGCTCTTTCTTCGTTTCAATTTAAAGTAAAAATGTTTACTTTACAGACCGCTTTTGCTTTTAAACGCTATTTTTGTATTGGCCAACGCAAAAGATCTTATTAGGCGCCGCGAAGCAAGCGGGCATTGGTTAGTACATACATATAATCAAAAACAAAGATAAAGATAAAGAAAATATGAAGATGAAAATGAAGATGATGAAAATGAAAATGAAGATGAAGATGAAGATGAAGATGAAGTTGAAAATGAAGATTATGATGAAGGTGACGGTGAAAGTGAAGTTGAAGATGAAAATGAAGATGGATATGTAGATGAAGATGAAGAACCACAATCCACTAGTTAATATTGCAGCTATGAATGTTTTCTCAGCCACAAATAAAAATTAGACTTAGTAGTTGATTATAAAAAATAAAAAATTAAAGCTCGTTAAAAAAAAATAAAATAAATATGTATTTTGTATATTATAAAATATGTACATGTGTATGTATATCGCACATTTCTTTCTTTCTGGAACTTCCTCTATTAAGGTTCAGTTCTTCCGCGCGTAGGGACTACACGCACTAAGTTTTTTTCGAAATTACTTGAATGAGGATTAAACCTTTATTTTTTATTTGAAATTTCATGATGAAATTACTTGAATGAACAATAAAAATTTATTCGTCAAAGATAGAAAAATTATGAATTAGATATTATTTTTTATTTGAATGATTCATTCAAAACCGAAAAAATTCAGCACATCGCAAACGTCTCACAAGTAGCTCACATTTAATTCTAACTTCGCTGTAAACTTGGAATTAAAATCTTCTGATAAAGTTTTTCTCGACGGTAGGTTATAACCGGACCATTGAGTTACCATGGCAAAGAATTTTATCATTTCAGGCTCCTCAACTAATCGTAGTGCGTGATGGCTTTCGACGATCGTTTTAACTAATTGGTTGTCCAGTTTATTCACTTTTTTCGTAGCTGGCCATTTCGGTAGAAGGCCGCTCTCTTTACGATTATTCTTCCATCTGGGGGTTATTTTGTAATGCGATGTGAAAACAAATGATTAGCATTCGCGCAAGCACATCGTAAGTAATACACAGGGGTAATTGCCTATCGCATCGCATTACTCTGTCGTATCGCATTACAGAGTAGGCCCCTGATCTACTTGCTCCTCTCATCTGATTCCTTCGTCTGTGTCTTCGCTTGAATCTTTTGAAGTGGTTCCATATAATGCTTCTTTTTGCAGGCATTTGAGAAATACAAAAATATATATCCAATCTATTAACGAATTCTAATGCAAAATACTTAAAATGGCTCCAGAAACATCAACGCTTACTTTTTGCGGGATGATAGAAGCAGAAACGGCGCAGAATAAGAGTGTTGCAGTTGTTCAAATACTTCCATGACTATTTTGTACAAATAAATAGTTTTAAAATATTGGTAACACTAGAAATAGCACTTGGTAGAATTTTCGTAATCTAGTTTTCACATAGTAAAAATAACAAATTTTAAAGATTTTTTATACAAGGAAACTCTGAAAAAGGAGTTCGTGTAGAATTTCGAACAAGGTCCCGCGTTCACTTCAATGAACTATGTAGCTCAAGGAAGTGAATAGTTCGTGAACTACAGAAGTCTAATATCCTTGACTATAATGTGGTAAACAGAATTGCAACGGAGAGCGGGTAACGGGCTGACGGGTGGCGAACAGCTGATCATTAAAGTCGGCAAATTCGGTGGGGTAAACACAATTGCGGCGGCAACGGTAGGCCCTATTGATTTTTAAATAAATTTAAATTAATTATATTGTGAAATAATTATATTGGTAAGTTAAATATATTGTTAAATTAAAAAAATTGTTCAAATTGAATAGATATTGCTTGGTTGCTGTTTACCTGCTTTTTTTGTAAACAAGGAAATTGACATGGAATGGTCAGAAAATCAATCCTGAGTCTTCGACCCGACGGAGAAAATACAAATGAATGTTAATATTTCCCCACCGTAAAAATAACTGACGGAAATATATCCATCCCGCCGCAATACTGTGCCATTTCATGCAATTCAATATGTTCTAATTTTGACAGCGGGTACATGTCAGCCCGTTACCCGCTCTCTGCTGCAATTCTGTTTACCACATAAAATGCATCTCGAATCTTTAAGTTACAAGTAGCATGTTTTGTTACGATTATCTATGAACACTAGACGGATTTACCAAAAATACCTAGGTTCGTATCGCTGGATTGTTAAATAAACGCTTAAGATGAACAAATTACAGTAATTAACTTTATTGTACAACAAACACTTCCACCACTGGAGCACCTTCATCTAGGTTCTCGGTCTCTTAACAGTCTGGATTCGATACTCTGCGTGATTCAGCCGTTTGACAATCTTGTAAGGACCTTTCCAGTCGTTGTTTGGAGGTGAAGCCTCGCTCCCGCTGCGGCTTGTACATAAACACAAAATCGCCTTCCTGGAAACCCTCTCGGCTCGATGCGTTACTGCACTTTTCTTCGGGAGTGCACCAACTCACATGGCCGAGTTTCTGCCGGCCACAGGTGATGACCAGATCATTTCTCTTCTCATGGGCACCCTTTTCGCCGGATTTACGCCGCTTTCTCTGGCCATGACTACCAGGCTTTGATCCTCGAGCTGCACTGCCTAGTGTTTCCGCATATCGCTCTTCCACCGACGTCAACTTCATTGACCGGACAGGAATAACCTCATCCCGGGCCTCAGGCTTTCATTCTTGTCTTTGCATCCTTTGCCGACCACGACCTTTTTCTGCATACTTCGAAGCGCGCTCACTGCTTTCACAGCTGCTCCATTTCCGGCTACCGGCGTATCACCCTTGTAACGTGGTTCAGTGGCTCTCGTCCTGCCGGAAAGACTGCCTGACTTGCCATGACCACTTCCTTGTTATGACTTCCTCTTCTTCACTGAGCTGGCGGAACCGTCACGCTGTTTCTGTATTGGTGAAACGCTTCCTTCTCCGGACGAAACCACTCCGTATCCATTACTGCCAACCTCTGCCCAACTAACCGCTTCCATTGCTGGTGGAATCTTCAGGGCTTCCTCTAAGACCAACCATCAGCTGCAGTACTGGTTGTCGTAACCAACCCTAAGTGGCAATTCCCTGTCGCTATATGTCAGGATATGGAGGTAAATCTTAATGCCTTGGTCAAGTAGGAAGTCCACACCGATGATGGCTTCATCTATAATATCTGCCACTATAAACTTGGTGTACGAAGCCACACCCCCGACTATTACCTCGCATGGTACTTCTGCTAACACTTGGGCGCGCTCACCAGTTGCAGTCCGCAACTTTGCTCCAGGTAGTAGCATCACATAAAAAGTGGCCAAAACAGGTCGAATACAATATATTTTGCTTAGCTGCACATCCTTCTTTGCACGAAAAACTTGTGCACGTAACCGAAAAAGGCACTTAAACGAATTTTCTTTACTACTTCAATGAGGAAGGTATCCGAATCCCTATGAAACCA